TCTTCCAAAAAGAATGTTGTATTTGGAAATTGGAAAGTAGGTTGATAGGCAAGTTGAACTGAATTTGTTTATTTGCAGAAATCGGACCCAGTAGTATCTTATCGGGAGACTGTCTGTGAAGAATCTAACCAGATGTGCTTATCCAAATCACCTAACAAGCATAACCGGCTTTATATGAAAGCTCGTCCTTTCCCTGATGGATTGGCAGAAGATATAGACAAAGGAGATGTTAGTTCTCGCCAAGAGCTGAAGCAGCGAGCTCGTTATCTGGCTGAGAAGTATGAGTGGGATGTTTCTGAAGCACGGAAGATCTGGTGCTTTGGACCTGATGGGACAGGTCCCAATATTTTGGTTGACATCACCAAGGGTGTCCAGTATCTCAATGAAATCAAAGACAGTGTTGTGGCTGGATTCCAGTGGGCCACTAAGGAGGTAGGCCTACTGCAAAATTGTACCTAAGACCACATCTTGAATAATTAGTCTCACTTTGCATAAGGTACTTAATTTTCCACAAATCATCATTGGAGTACAGTAAATGTTCTCTGTAGCTCGCTTGAAAGCTTCACTTTGATTACTATGCTGGCTGCATTTAGCTGTAATTGTTACAATAGTTTGCAAGGCAGTTAAAATAGCCCTGCTTGTGAAAGGTACTCACCCACATCAGTTATTTACCAAGGAAAGGCAGTGTGAGCATGTAGTCTTCTTTCTCTATGCAGGGTGTTTTGTGTGAAGAGAACATGCGAGGGGTTCGTTTTGACATTCATGACGTGACTCTCCATGCTGATGCTATCCATCGTGGGGGGGGACAAATCATCCCAACTGCAAGGAGGGTCTTGTATGCTTCTGCCTTGACAGCCCAGCCTCGGCTGATGGAACCCATCTATCTTGTCGAGATTCAGGTACAACCAAGGGGCAACTTGGAATGAGGAGGAGTTGGTCCTTGTTCGTATTTAGAAGAGCGAGCCAAGGCTGGTATTCCGTGTTCTTGTAATAGGTTTGATGTAGTTACTGTCCTCAAGCCGAGATGAGATACAAGCAACAGGGCCGCCTACTGGTTCTTCTCAATTCCAAACTCACCCATGTGTCCTCAACCCATTTTGGGCTTGGCACACTTCTGCAATAAGAATGTGCTCAAACATGGTCTTTTCCACAACAGCTGTTTTTGCTCACGCTGTATTCAGCTTGTTGTCAAATTTCCTGATGTCCTTTATCCAATTTCTATACAGTTCAATCTTAGTTCAATCTAAGCTGTTTTTTTTGGGGGGGGGAGCAGCATAATAAAACCATATGCAAAATATGCAGTAAAATGGCTATGTAAGTTGCTTTCTAAATCTTCCCACTGGACTCCACAAACTATTTCTTGATTTTGCCACTGGGTGCCGCTATGCACGAAACAAATGTGAACAGTGTGATTTCTCATTGTTTTAAAAAGATGCACACAGTTCCTCTCAAAGACAGTATCAGTTGCCTGATAAAATTCAGGAGGCTGAATGATGCACTAAGGGCATTCTGGGTCCTGTTCTGAGGGTGGCTTGGGTTCTGCTAGAGCTTGAGACTTTCCACAAATCAGCTATTTCCAGCCCATCACCAATATATTCCCATTGGTTTAAAAGAAAAGCTTTTTAGCAAGCTAAAAAGTTCTCTGGCTGGTTAAAAGTGGGAGGATTTTAGAACTTGTGGGCCCATTTCAGCCCATCATTTTAAGATAACGTCAGCAGTTCAAGTGCTTTGCTTTCCTAAATGTGTACAGAAATCTAGCTTGTTACACAAGTTTTTATTTATATAATTTAAAATGAGCAGCCAAATTTATATGGCCACCCATATAAGCCCAGAGTCACCCACAAGAAGTGACTCTGGGCAGCGTACATTATAGGAGTGAGCTTATCTATTACTTAGTGGCAAAATCTTTATTACACAAAAATGTGTTTTATGAATTGTAGTAACATAGATGAACATTATAGTCCAAAATTCATTCATGTTGCACAAACTATAGTCCTCTATGTGAGAGCTGTATTGAAAACTGTAAGATGGTTTGAACCAGTCTTCCAGCGAGCAGAAAAAGAAATCCTAAAAGTTGTCTTTTCTTTCTAGTGCCCAGAACAAGTGGTTGGGGGCATCTACGGCGTGCTGAACCGGAAACGCGGCCATGTCTTTGAGGAGTCTCAAGTAGCTGGGACCCCTATGTTTGTGGTCAAAGCATATCTTCCGGTCAACGAGTCTTTTGGTAAGAGATCTTTCTTAAACATATGACCCAACGTGCCTCAAAGAAATGTAGCTCTGTGGGCTTAGTCTCTTCCTGAACTCACAGTGCAGTCAATTCCTATTTCATTCCTCCCTTAAACAAGTTCTTCAGCTCATTAAGTCTAAACTAGTATCTATTCCCCGACAATCTAGTTGCTTGTTCTGTATTACATCCGACAAAGGTGGTTACATAGAGGTAGGCTCTTTGTATACAACTTAATTGCATTTATTTGTTCTTTCATCACTCCTGTATCAAGTAATAGGGATGGCTGACGTTGTGCTGAAACCATTGATTGTCCAGATGTCAGACAGAGGACTGTCTTACCCAAGATTATATAATAGGGACTGCTGTAATTCTGAATTTTGTGGAAGGGAAAAAATTCATCTGTGAAAAGATGAGTTAAATGGAATTCTTTTATCCTGCACAAGTGTCTTGGTGATTGAAGTAAAGCAACACAAAGCAACAGCATTCTTGCCGCAGCAGAGGATGGTGGTGCAAGTCATTTCCTTCTCTCCCCCTCCCCTGTAGGTTTCACCGCTGACCTGAGATCCAATACTGGGGGCCAAGCTTTCCCACAGTGTGTCTTTGATCACTGGCAGATCTTACCTGGAGATCCTTACGATGCCAATTCACGCCCTTTCCAAGTTGTGGCCGAAACACGTAAACGCAAAGGCTTAAAGGAAGGCATACCGCCTCTAGACAACTTCCTGGACAAATTGTAACTGCTTCCTCCTGCGGGTGAGGGGTGTCTATTACAGTACCCAACTTCATAATGGAATTGGATTGCTTCACAAAGCTAAGAAAGAAGTGGGAAACTGGACAAACCTAAATGAAAACACAAACCAGCAGCTAGCAATTATGTCATGTTCACATAATGAGAAATAAAGTGTGTTGTTGAGTAGATTATCTAGTCGAATTTTATTTTCTCTGGAAACCGACTGTTCCACTTGATGGTTTTTATGGCAAGAATTTCTGAGACACAGCATTACATCAGGTTCAGTTTATCCAGATTCAATGGCTTCTACGTTGCCCCAGTACATATTACCATTTGTTTAGCACATGAAATGCTGCTGCTAAAGGTTGGAGGAAAGTTTGCAAAATAATCTAGCATGGCATTTGTTTTTTAACTTCCATGTGCTAACTTGCATCACTTAATAAAAGAATATGGCTTAAAACTTTGCTGATTCAGAAACCTGAAATTCAGCTCTGAAACAAAGGTAAGAGGAATTTTCCAAGAGAAGTCACCAGAGTTTAGTGAATCTCTCCTAGATCATTAGAATTACAGCACAGCAGGTTGAAAATTACAGGAGGAAGGTTCTTTCAAACAGCATTGAAAGGACATCTCAGTGTAGCAAACCGTATTTTTTGAACAAAAGCTCAAAGATAATCAGATTACTTTAATTGATACAAAATTAGCAGACACATGGAGATCGATGTAATGCAAGACTTGTACGTGCTATTGATTTAGGTGGTCATACAAAACAAAACAGTGTTGTCTGGGGTAGAACATCTGAGGGGAATCATACCTGCAGTCATTTAGGCATCACTCAGGTATACATAGCCCAGATACTCTATAGGTATTAAGACTTGCCTATAATAGCAAAAGATCGATACTGCAATGCCTTTGCAGTTTAGTATTTAGGAATACCGTTGGATAAAGGAGAAACGAACTTTTGAAAGAAAGTTAAAAGATAGAGCAGGAAAGAGCTGTACGCACATGATAATAGTGGGGAAGCCTTTCATCATTATAACTTCTGAAACCTTTAAGCAAACGGAGAAATAGGAAAACTAGAGCTTTTCTAACCTTTCCTACGCTGGCTAAAATGCTCTGTGCAACTATTAAAAGATACAAGAGATTTCATTAAAAGGTTTGCAGGACCCCTAAGGCAAGAGTGGCCAAAATAACTTCCCTCCTACCAGCCCATGTGACTTCTAGAATATAAACTAAAATTGCAATTTCCTTCTCAGGATTTTTCTTTATTAACCTAGGTAGTGCTGCTTCTGCTTTGAAGAGAACCTCTTAACACTACGCCCAGTAAAACAAGCTTGCACTTGATGGTTCTCAGGTATAAAATCTGACCACGGAAAAGCACTTTACATGGGTGCACATTATGGAAGTTCCCAGTATTACAGGTTCTGTGTAATGTGGGGATAAGAATGATGTCAATGAAGCTGCCTACTCATGAAACACTCAGAAATTGTCTACCAATGAAGACGTGGTTTGTGCAATGCCCCTCCCGGGATGGTTTCAGCAGCCTTAGCTGGGCCAGAAACCGCCCCTCCTACTCATGATGCTCAAAGCATTCATTTGCCTCTTTCAGACTTTTTTTCCAAACTGATGAAAGATCCTAGTGCGAGATCCTTTCTCGTCAGTGTAGCTATTCTCAAAACAACTCTAAGACAATTAAGGGTCAATCTTCTTGGCAGCAATTATCTGACTAATACGAACTGCATGCATTCAATTTCATGATCCTTGTGCAGATAAAATAATGCACAACATGCTACGAATGCATTCAGATCAAAAGCACCAGCTATTTTGCAAGATCTGATCTCTTCCTTGCCCCTTTCCTGCATCTAAAGAGAACTTATGACCCACCCTAAAAATTAACTGTTGAACACTCTATTCACATCTTTACAAACATGGATTAGATGCATGAAATGGACTTTGCATAGCATTCTTTTTCCCCAGTTCTTACGGTTTTTTGCACGTGTAACTGAGCAGTTTCAGAAGAGCATGAATTTCTAAATAGAAAAACAATTCAGATTTATGAGAGGGTTTATGATGTCACTGAAGAGGAAGGGAAGAGGCAAACAATTTATGCAATTGTTAGTTTACAAAGATTCATCCTCTCCGTTAAGGATTTATTCCAGGTCCCAGCAAAAGGTCAAGAATTCCCAAAAATTTAACTCCTTCCTCTTGTCCTTACATCTGGGATAAGGCAGGTTCCTGTCATTTGAGTAATTAAGTGCATTTTTAAACACTGCTCTTGTTTTTTACATTATTGCTAGATCTAACCAAAAGTTATAATTAGCATATGGAATTCATCCTAGAATCCACATAGCAAAACTGTGTCAGTTTCATCATCATAAAGTTGAAAGGCTGGCTTGTTCCAAATGGACAATATTTCTCCCAAACCGAGAGAAAAAAAATCCAGGATGAGAAGAAAAAGTCGTTCCAGTCAGTTTTCTTCCACTGTCCATCTGCCTGTAAACGATCATTGAATCCAAAGCTTTTTTTTTCTTCTCCTTCCCAATAAATATTTAAAATAAAAGCTCAAGCTGCAAATGCAGTCCAGACTGGCAGATTTCACCAGCTTTTAGTCCAGGGAGATGATATCGGGAACGCTGCTCCCGCCGCTGCTGGTGAGAGCCGCCGTCTCGCTCCGGCCCGAAGAGCGAGCGCGAGTGCTGCTGTCGAGGGGGCTGGCCGAGGTGACGCTGTTGCCAGAGGTGGTACTTGCTGGCAAGGTTGAGGTGAGACTATCCAAAAACATAGGAGCACAGTACTGCTTGAAACAAACAATGGTGCAGGTAAGGAAGAGAGCCTAGATGCAGGGGGGCAGAAAAGCACAAGCACCCAAGCCACAGGGGGCCAACTGCACCCAGCTTCTGCCAAGGTCGTGCTTCTCAGCTTCGACAACTTGAAAATGTCTGGATTTCAACTTTTTATTTTTTTATTTTTTAACATTACTGCTAGAGCTAACTAGAAGTTATAATTAGCATATGGAATTCATCCTAGAATTCACATAGCAAAACTGTTTGTCAGTTTCATCATTATGAAGTTAAAAGGCTGGCTGAAGTTGAAGTCCACATACCTTGAAGTTGCCAAGGCTAAGAAACGCTATGCTAAGGCAAGGACAGTGTTGCCACAAAGACATCCTTACTGAGTCAAGAGCAGCAGTCATAACATTCTCCACACATATGTTATTGTCAGGCTTGTAAGGCACCCCAATCAGTCACACATCTATAAACCCAAGAGGAGAGAGGCCCTCGTTAGGGAACCTTTTTCCCTAACTTAGATTTCTAGGGCAGCACATACCATCGCTGACTCCGGATAGCGAATGAAAGCAATAGCCTAGCACAACACAGTAAAAATCCAAAGATGTTTTTTTAAAGAAGGTGGTCATTACAGGAGGAACAGATATACAATATAAATACACAAAAACGACCCCACAGTCTGCCCTAGCCTAAGGCATGCCAACTTTGTTGTAGCTTAGGGGACAGACAGAAAACAATGTAGGACTCTATAGGTGACATACAGCATCTTGGATTGCATCCAGAAGCCTATTGATAGCCAGTGCAGCTTACATAGCAGAGAGACTACATGAGTGTAACAAGATACACCCATAACTGCTCATGCTGCTGCATTCTGGACCAGCTGTAGGTTCTGAGTGGTCTTCAAGAATAGTCCCATGTAAAGTGTATTGCAGTAGTCCAGATGATTTAATGTATTCTTATAAATAATAAAACAAATGAAATTGGCATGGACATAATTATTGGTATCCTTTAGAAAGTAAAAGACATTATTGGATTTTAGTGATCTCTCAAGCAGACTATTTAATTAGTATCCCAGGTGTTTTCAATCTCATAATCAGTCACTCAGTCTATCTGAATGGAGAAAAATATTCAGGCATTTTGTGTCCTTGTGTGCAGCACAGTGAACGTGGACAAGAGAAAGGAAACAGAGTGTCTAAGGAGGAAAAGAAGAAGGTCATAGCCAAGCGTGGTAAAGATAAAGACTACAAAACCAAAGAGCTTCATGTTTCTGTGACCACAGTGGCTAATATTATCAAGAGGTTCAAGGTCCATGGGACCATATCCAATCTTCCTGTACATGGCCACAAGAAGAAAATTGATTGCAGATCCAATAGAAGGATAGTTCGAATGGTGAAGAACCAAGGAAAACTTCAAAGCAGATCCTGGCTGACCTCCAAGATCAAGGTACAACAATATCAAGTCACACCATCCATTGCTGGCTGACTGAAAGTTTCATCCATGGTAGAAGACCAGGAAGATCTCTATGGAATATTGCCCCCCCCCCCCCCGG